TGAGGATCCTGTGAAAGAGCCTGTCAGCAGAATTTCAAATGCACTCGGATGTGATTATGAAAACAGAAAGCCAAGTCCTGCACTCACACCCAGCATTGCTCCATCTCATGGCCTGGATGCTAGGTTGCTGACATCCTCAGACACATCATTTGCAGACTTTAGTAGTTCACATTTTAGTTTGCAGTATAAAAGACTCCATCAGAATGACTTACGCAGCTAATGGAAGAGGCTCTCTGTTTGGCTGATGCCATCTTGGATTACCTGCTAGCCCTAAAGCATTCAACTCTCTCCAACAGCTGCATAGTCATACATCTGGCAGCTAACTCTGCTCATCACGTCTAGATGAAGGCGGTGCTGTCTTCCCTGACCCGACAGTGGCTAAGTTTCTCAAAGGATTCTTTCATGACTTCCCACCTGTTAGACACTCCATCTTCTTGGGACCTCAACATTTTTTAATAGGATTGTTGGGACTTCCCTTTAAACCTTTGGCAACGTATGTCCATTAAGACTGCCTTCTTATTGGCTATAACCTCAGCAGATGGAGAGGCGACATCTAAGCCTTTATGGTGGGATAATCCAATACAGTGTTCCACAAAGACACAGTGACTCTAAGGCTACGTTTACTGTTCAGTTAGAGATACCCATGCTAGCTCTCACTGAGCTAGACTGCTAAAAATAAAGTGTAACTTTGGTAGAATGGGCAGTGGTAAGCAGTGGCACAGGCTAGTCGCCCTGAGAACAAACTTGCCTGGACCCCGTGGATATTTATTTGGGGTGGATAGCTCATGCTGCTGCTCACCATTACCTGTGTTACCACAGATACACTCTTATTTTTAGGCACTAGCTCTATGAGAGCTAGCACAAATATGTCTACTTGAATGAGAATCTCACACACCCCAGCTCCAAGTATAGACATAGGCTTAGTCCTCACCCTAATTTCTTACCTAAAGTGGTCTCTGATTTTCTTTTCAACCAGATGATCCATCTATCAGTTTCCTTCCTCAAATCTGATATTACTTGGTAGGGAAGCAAAACTTCCCACCTTCAGTGTTTTCAGATCTTTCCTACTTTCTGGACAGAACAAAGCCATTCAAGAGTTCTCCGAGACTGTTTCTGTATTTGTTGACAGGATGAGAGGTCAACCAATATTCACCCGAAAGATGCTGAAATAGATCTTGGACTATTAAACATGTTATACAATAGACCATTTGGATTCACTTGGGCAGATGAGGACCCATTCCACCAGAGATGTGGGCAAAACATCTTGAAGAACCACACTTACTATAGGGTGAATAACCATTGTTTCTGGTTCCCTAATCCACAGCATTCTTCTCCATTCATAGATTATAAAGCCAGAGGGGACCACAGTTATTATCTAGGCTGACCAGTTGTATAACAGGTCTGAGGAAGTCCTTGAATTAATTCCTCTTTGAACTAGAGCATAACCTTAAAACAAATCTGTGGCAAGTTGCTCTAATGATTGATTACGCTCACCGTTAAACATTTTCACTTTATTTCCAGTCTGAATTTGCTTAGTTTCAACTTCCAGACATTGGATCCTTTTATACCTTCTTTGTCTGTTAGCTGTATCATATTCTTAGTCTCTGGTTTCATGTCCCTATCATAATGCCTGCTTCTATAATATGGAGCAGGAGCTACATTCTTAGTTTGTGTAAATAACATTTTCCTTCAGGTACAGGAATACTATCTTTTCCTCTCTGTTTTCTGATAATACTGAAGTGTCCCAATTAATTTAAGCCCCTTCTGCCACCTTGAAATACAGTTATATTACTGATTAGGAAATTTACAAACATCTTCTTTCTACAGTTACGGTTTTGTTAAATACCGTAGCAGAGTCAGAGTGCCTGTAGAACATATTTAACCTCTAAACTCTAAAGAAAAAATGCTGGTTTTACAGTACAATATGCTATGATCTGAAAAAGTATATAATATCGCTTTGCATATACACTACAGCTTAGCTTATTTTTTTAAGGTTTTCTTCCACCTTTTTAATGGTTTGCAAGAACTTTGAACTCTGTCTTCAAGGTCCAGTTAAAATATATTTTAAATGCTCATTGAGATTGAAAAAAATGTTCAGAGTTCTCTTCTGAGAGTTTGGGAAGATATTTTGGAATAACGTAATTGTATGGAATGTTTTGTAATTGTGTTGGCTTTTAGGAATTTGTTACTTCCTGCTCATTGAAGAGCTGAGGGTGATGTGATATCAGGCACCTGAGGTATTGGTAGGTCTGGATTAAGGTAACCCAGGGCTATAAAAACGTTGTGACATGGGGCCCTCTATAGCTCTGTCCCCAATCTGTGGCTCTGGCCCCTGCAGTGGCAATGATGTGGAGACCTCTCCCCTCCTCTATAGACGGGGCAGCAGTATGAAGCTCCCCCAGAGCAATATGTCTTGGACTTAATATCCCATTGAGATGCATGGTACAGTTCTCACTTCTGAGAGCTGTTGTTTCTGGCTGTCTGCAGACTCAGACATCATCACATTCGTTATACTCAGTTATACTTAGTTATACATTTTCAAGCAAGGATGAAATAAATTAGGGTTTCGGCATGTGTTCTGCTGGAAGCACAGACCTCTAAGAATGGCAATGTAGTGATGCAAATATTATCATCTGTTGTTTTGGTGGGGAGGAGGGCGTGAGGAGGAAGCAGCAGCACTACTAGCAATTGAAATACAAATATGATATTTCCTTTCATCCAACTCTTAAAAGTATAGGGGTGACTGTTAATGCCAAAACATTTATTCTGAATTTAGGGGGAGTTCAGATCTGGATATAAAATTCATAGCTCTGTTCTATTGCTATATAAGGGTCCAAAATTGGGCCACCAAATCCAAACACTCCCCAACTTTGGCACATTTGGATTCTCAGCTGAACTCCATGGCTAAGAACCATCTCTGCTTCAAAGGAATCTGCTACTCCTTTTAACTGAGCCTGCTGTGCTCTGATTGGTTGCTTCCCTGCAGCCTTTCTAGGTCTGGAGGTTCCACTTTCACTGCTCCTTTCCTGGGCCAAGGTGTGGTAGGACCATGGGGGCTCAAAGGACCTGGTACACCCCATCATGCACAGTTTTATCATTTTTTGAAATGTTACATTCCAAAAGTTATAAAATAAAAATATTGAATAATACTCTTTAAAACGGTGTGATTGAGTAAAACAAAATAAAAACCATCACACAGCCTTCTACAGTCTGGCTCCATGCTCAAGCAGGGTTCCCTGGTTGATGTGATGTGATTATATGTTTCAAGCTGTAACCATTGAAAATAAAATGTTCAATTTCTAGAAAAAATAACTGTTGTATGAGTGTAATGCTTGCTGATATTAGTTCACTGACAGCTTCACTTGTTTTCAAACCCCATATATTTAGGGTTGTGGAGAGTTAGATTGATGTCTCTTTTCCGTCAGATGTCATATTCATTAACTGTATTGTGCAAGCAGAGTGTTAAATTGAAAAGGTGACTTGCCAAGTGACAGTGTTTTGATGTGATGTCCCAAACTATTAATATATGGTAAAAGGGTTTTTTTTTATTTGCTCAGTCAGTTTTTTGGAACACAATGTTTTTGTGTGCAAAATACTGCTACGAATGTTTTCTGAATTAAAACTTTTAGCTGGAATGTTCCCCACCTGCATTAGCTAATGGATAGTGAAATGTGGAGTTCCATAGTTACTTTGTAATATGACGTTTGTAAATGAGATACACCAAAGGAATATGAACTCTATTAACAAAAGCTGATTTTTTGTGTGATCACATTAATATAGGGACTGAACTTCCTGGTTTTTAGTTTTAGACAATATTGTCAGCACTAAAACATTATACCTTCTGGATGATATTACTATGTAAAATAAATATATGTTATAAAGCAAAATTGGCATATATCTTAAGGCCTTCTTGTGTGTTTTCACAAAAAGAAAAGGAGTACTTGTGGCACCTTAGAGACTAACCAATTTATTTGAGCATAAGCTTTCGTGAGCTACAGCTCACTTCATCTAAATAGCATTGCCAATAAGAGGCAGCATTTACTGTGGAGAAAACAAGAAAAGTTTAAAATATATTATTGTATGTAAGATAAGAAATTACAAAAATAATTTTTATGTTTGCAAACATTGGTTGGGTTGCATGCATCATATATAATTTTATTTATAAAAACATTAATTTACAGAATGTGTGCATCTTAGTGAATTTTATTTTAGTTTGGAATCAAACCAGAAAGGACAAAAAGAAAAAAGCAACCACTACAATCTGCAAAGATGTTTACTGAGTAACAATCTTGTTGTGGGTTATGATCAGCTCAGTGTTGATGGTTCTTTGATTATGGTATCTACCATAATCTGATTGATACAGGAGATTTATTATGTTGTATTTGTAATAATTTTAAAGGGTCATAATCAAGATCAAAGAGTAGAATACAATGAAATTTTGGTTGATGGAGGAATCAAGTTTTGAGGCAATTGAAGAAAACTGTCCAAAGATGGAAATAGGAGATTTCTCAGATGTGGCTGGTTTTATGTCACTTGCTCCTTTTCTTTCTCTCCCATCCCCTCAGATGTATGTTTTGGAAATGGGACAGGAGATAGGTGGAGCAGAAATGCAACTTGCTTTGGTGATCCTTGCCTGGCAAACTGATCCTGCAAGGAGACTTCTCTGACTGTTGTAATTTAGGGTAGCCTTTAGGTTTGTCCTTTGTTTGTTTCAACTCCCAGCCTACTCCAGGACTGGAGGATCAGAAAAGTAGTTTTACACACCTTTCTCCCCCATTTCCTTTGTGCACTTTGTGCGCATCTCCACTGGATTCAAGGATCTGATCCTTTAAAAAGGGAAGTTACACAGTTCAGACTATGATATTAGGTTATCTTGTGTCATGACAAATAATAAGACTGACTTTATACAGTGTATTTTCATATAATTTAATTTTATCATAAGCATATTTTACATAATATCTAAGAAATAAAATAAATTTTATGACTTTTTGTTTGGACAGCTACCCAAGAATGCCTCAGAAAAGGAAGGAACTTCTGTTTAACATTGTATCAACTCAAACGTCTTTCTCAGCTTATAAAACTCTTTTTGTTTATGGAAGAAAGAGTTGAAGAACTCTCTGCAGAAATTCTGTTATTGCCTTGTTTCACTGAGAAGAACAAAAATGTTCAAGGTAATGTGTAATTTTCCTCACATACTGTTTTCTTTTCAGTTTGTAGAAAAGAATCACTTTGTATGAATTCCAAATTAAATTAAATTTGCAGGATTATGAAAATAAATTGCTGTATGTTTGCATTTTTCCTCCAATCTCCCACCATATAAACAAATATCTTGCAACATCTCATTAAATATGTATTTAAAATAATGTAGATGTACATTTAAATTGTAGATTTTGTGGGAAAGAATTGATACTTGTATGTAAAAGATGTGATTATATTATAATTATTTCTGATAATGGAGTGAAATACGCTGGTGTTGCCTAACAAACATTTTGTATGTATATATATAAAAACAAAATATATGGCAGTTTCCACTGCTGTGAATATTCCTGAGCTTGTTCCATGGAGGCTGCAATTTCAGTGGGGAAAAGCACTGAACTTTGAACATTAATTTTAGGTCAATGTAATGTGCATTTAAAATAGTTTTCATGTAAATGTAGTTGTTTTAATTTATAGCTTGATCCTGCAAACACTACTGAGTTGTTCCATTGACTTCAGTGGGACATCTCATAGCAATAAGCACTTTGCCCAGAAGTAAATATTTGCAGAATCAGGTCTTTATTTCCCTTTCTTTATTTTATTGCTGGACTATCTCCAGAAATATCAGATGAAGAAAAGGTGTAACCCTGCAAAATGGCAAATGAGATGAAGAAAATCCACCAGCTGAGAAAATGGTGTGCCTATAATATGTTCCCCTTCCCAGCTTCTTTACCTAATGCACTTATTAGGGTATGTCTACACTACGAAATTAGGTCAAATTTAAGAAGTTGATTTTTAGGAAGCAATTTTATACAGTCGATTGTGTGTGTCCCCACTAAGCGCATTAAGTCGGCGAAGTGCATCCACAGTACTGTGGCTAGCATCGACTTTCGGAGTGTTGCACTGTGGGTAGCTATCCCACAGTTTCAGCAGTCTCCGCTGCCCATTAGAATTCTGGGTTGACTTCCCAATGCCTGATGGGGAAAAAACATTGTTGCAGGTGGTTTTGGGTACATGTCGTCAGTTGTCCCTCTCTCCGTGAAAGTAACGGCAGACAATCGTTTCATGCCTTTTTTCCGTGCAGATGCCATACTTCTGTCAGCAGACAGTGCAGTCGGACTGCTAACTGTCATCATCCACTGCTTCCACTGCCACTCTGCTCTCCTGCATACCATAGCAAGCATGGAGCCCGCTCAGCTCACTGCTGCTGTTGTGAGCATTGTAAACACCTCGCGCATTATCCTGCAGTATGAGCAGAACCTGCAAAAGCAGGTGAGGAGGCGATGACAGTGCGATTACGATAATGATGAGGACATGGACACAGATTTCTCTCAAAGCATGGGACCCAGCAATTTGGACATCATGGTGGTAATGGGACAGGTTGAGTCTATGAGGTTCATGCCATGGAATGCTGATTCTGGGCCCGGGAAACAAGCAAAGACTGGTGGAATGGCACAGTGTTGCAGGTCTGGGATGATTCCCAGTGACTGCAAAATTTTCACATGTGTAAGGGCATTTTCATGGAACTCTGTGACTTGCTTTCCCCTGCCCTGAAGCGCAAGAATACCAAGATGAGAGCAGCCCTCACAGTTGAGAAGTGAGTGGTGATAGCCCTCTGGAAGCCTGCAACACCAGACAGCTACGGGTCAGTTGGGAATCAATTTGGAGTGGGCAAATCTACTGTGGGGACTGCTGTGATCCAAGTAGCCAATGCAATCACCGAGCTGCTGCTATCAAGGGTAGTGACTCTGGGAAATGTGCAGGCCATAGTGGATGGCTTTGCTGCAATGGGATTCCCTAACTGTGGTGGGGCCATAGATGGAACCCATATCCCTATCTTGGGACCGGACTACCTTGGCAGCCAGTACATAACCGCAAGGGGTACTTTTCAATGGTGCTGCAAGCACCAGTGCATCACAAGGGACGTTTCACCGACATCAATGTGGGATGGCCGGGAAAGGTGCATGACACTCGCATCTTCAGGAACTCTGGTCTGTTTGAACAGCTGCAAGAAGGAACTTACTTTCCAGACCAGAAAATTACCCTTGGGGATGTTGAAATGCCATAGTTATCCTTGGGGAACCAGCCTACCCCTTAATGTCCTGGCTCATGAAGCTGTACACAGGCACCCTGGACAGTAGTAAGGATCAGTTCAGCTATAGGCTGAGCAAGTGCAGAATGGTAGTAGAATCTGCATTTGGACGTTTAAAAGCACACTGGCACAGTTTACTGACTTGGTTAGACCTCAGCGAAACCAGTATTCCCATTATTATTGCTGCTTGCTGTGTGCTCCACAATATCTGTGAGAGTAAGGGAGAGACGTTTATGGCGGGGTTGGAGGTTAAGGCAAATTGCCTGGCAGCCGATTACGTGCAGCCAGACACCAGGGTGATTACAAGAGCACAGCTGGGCACCCTGCGCATCAGAGAAGCTTTGAAAACTAGTTTCATGACTGTCCAGGCTACGGTGTGGTAGTTCTGTTTGTTTCTTCTTGATGAAAACCCGCTCCCTTAGTTGACTCTACTTCCCTGTAAGCCAACCGACCTCCCACCTTCGATCACCGCTTTTAGAGGCAATAAAGTCATTATTATTTCAAAGTCATGCATTCTTCATCACACAAATAGGGGGAAAACTCAGAAGGTAGCCTGGAGGGGTGGGTGAGGAGGGAAGCACCGGGTGGGGTGGTGGAGGAGGGGAGGACAAGGCCACACTACAGTTCAAAACTTATTGAATGATATCCTTCTCTTGCTTGCGCAATCATCTGGGATGGAGTGGCTGAGTGCCCGTAGCCTTCCTCCCCCCCCCCCCCGCATTCTTGGGCATCTGGGTGAGGAGGATATGGAACTTGGGGAGGAGGACAGGCAGTTATACAGGGGCTGCAGTGGTGGTCTGTGCTCCTGCTGCCTTTCCTGCAGCTCCTCCAGATGCCTAAGCATGTCAGTTTGCTCATCCGTTAGCCTCAGCATTGCATCCTGCCTCCTCTCACCATGCTCCTCCTCCTTCTCATTGCGTTCATTTAATGCTTTCCTGGACTTTGCCATTGTTTGCTTCCACACGTTCTGCTGAGCTCTTTCAATCTGGAAAGACTGCATGAGCTCTGAGAACATGTCATCACGAGTGCATTTTTTTCGCTTTCTAATCTGTGCTAGCCTCTGGGACGGAGATGATAGGGGGATCGTAGAAACATTTGTAGCTGCGGGAGGAAAAAAAGGGAGAGTAGTATTTAAAAAGATACATTTTAGAGAACAAAGGGAGCACTATTTCATACTGAATCAAGTGATTCACATCACATAGCACATGTGCTTTTGGTACAAGGTCACATTTTGCCTCTTATATTTGAGTGTCTGCTGGTTTGGTATGAGACATCACACACACTTGGCTGGGCAATAGAATTTGGCTTTCAGGCGGCCATGGTAAGGCAAAGGGTTTCGGCTTCTTCAATCTTCGTAACATGTGGGAACGGTTTCAAACAGCAGCGCCCTCCTTTCCCATACCAAGCAAAGCCCATTGAGTTGGCCATTTAAAAGGAGGGGCTGTGGTTTTCGGGTGAATGTGTAGCATCATCCCAGTTCCTGGCTGCCGGGGAGAAGGGATTCTCCACTTGCCTGCTGTGTACTATCCTCAACCTCCTCTTCCTCCTCATCTTCCTCATCCACAGAATCCTCATCCCTGTTGTGTGAGATTCCCCCCTTGCAGGTGTCCACAGACAGTGGTGGGTTTGTCCTAGGGCCCCCCCGGCTAGAATTGCATGCAGCACATCATAGAAGTGGCATGTATGGGGCTCTGACTCGGAGCAACCGTTTGCATCCTTTGTTTTTTGGTAGGCTTGCCTCAGCTCCTTAACTTTCACACGGCACTGCTGTGTGTCCCTGTTGTAGCCTCTGCCCATACTGACCTTGGAGATTTTGGCAAATATACTGGCATTTCATCTTTTGGAACGGAGTTCTGCCTGCACGGATTCTTCTCCCCATACAGCAATCAGATCCAGTACCTTCTGTCCTCCTCCCCGATGAGTTGATTAGCACTGAAATCAACCTTGCTGGGTCCATTAGCACTGAAATCAACCTTGGGGTAGTGTGGACGCAATTCAACGGTATTGGCCTCCAGGAGCTATCCCAGAGTGCTCCATTGTGATCGCTCTGGACAGCACTCTCAACTCAGATGCACTGGCCAGGTAGACAGGAAAAGCCCCGGGAACTTTTGAATTTCATTTCCTGTTTGGCCAGCGTGGCGAGCTCATCAGCACAGGTGACCATGCAGAGCTCTTCAGCACAGGTGACCATGTAGTCCCAGAATCGCAAAAGAGCTCCAGCATGGATCAAACGGGAGGTACTGGATCTGATCGCTGTTTGGGGAGAGGAATCCATTCGAAAAGATGAAATGCCAAAATATTTGAAAAAAACTCCAAGGGCATGAAGGACAGAGGCTATAACAGGGACCATGTGAAACTTAAGGAGCTCAGGCAAGCCTACCAAAGAAGCAGAGAGGCAAACGGTCAGAGCCCCAGACATGCCGCTTCTATGATGAGCTGCATGCCATTCTAGGGGGTCCCCCTACAACTACCCCAGCCCTGTGCATGGACTCTGTCAGTGGACTCTCATGCAACAGGGATGTGGATTTTGGGGATGAGGAGGAGGAGGAGGAGGTTGAAGCACAGCAAGCAAGTGGAGAAACCGTTTTCCCCAACAGCCAGAAACTGTTTCTCACCCTGGACCTAGTACCCTCCCAACCCACCAAACGCAGGCTCCTGGACCTAGAAGGCGGAGAAGGGACCTCTGGTGAGTGTACCTTTGTAAATATAGTACACAGTTTAAAAGCAAGCGTGTTTAATGATTAATTTGCCTTGAAGACTTGGGATGCATTTGGGGCCAGTACAGCTACTGGAAAAGTCTGTTAACATGTCTGGGGATGGAGCGGAAATCCTCCAGGGACATCTCAGTGAAGGTCTCCTGGATGTACTCCCAAAGCCTTTGCA